TTTATTAAGTTTGGTTTATTAGTTGTTGAGATATTTTATTTCAAAGTTTTAAAAAAATTTACTTTGCTTGGTTTCTACTGGCACCCCATATGATTGGATTTGTTTATCCTTGAATAGAATGTTTAATTCGATAATTTATTGATTTTTTTTTTGATTTTTTTTTTTCGAAAAGCTTCTCAATCATCGAACATACGATGATTTTTCCGTTCCTAAATGCTACGGAATATCTCAACATCCTTCAACAAAGGAGTATATTCTTGTTTTTAATTACTATGAACAAGGTGATCTACGAGCTTTACTCGCAGACAGGTACACGGACATGAAGTTGCGTGATAAATTGCTAGTTCTTTCCGATATAATTTCAGAATTGAATTCAATCCATAAAAGAAAGTTGGTTCACAAGAATTTTCATCCGGGGAATATATTAATTGCTAAATCTTCTTGGATCGATGGATCTTTAAGTATTCATGGCTTAGCAATATCAGACCTTGGATTAAACGCACCAGTGAATGAACCACCACATTCTAAAGAAATATATGGTGTGATACCATTTGTTGCTCCGGAAGTTTTTCAAGCACTTCCTTATACTGCAGCAGCAGATATTTATAGCTTTGGAATGATAATGTGGATGATATCTTCTGGGAAACAACCATTTGGTGATCGGCCACACGATCATAGATTGATTAGAGATATCTGTGATGGTGTACGTCCACAAATTGTTTCAGGATTACCAGAATGGTATTGTGATTTGATGAAAAGATGTTGGGATACAGATCCTTTTAACCGTCCATCTGCACAAGAAATTCATGAAATAATATTTGATCGAAGGGGAGATCTTTGGGCTTATTATTCAGAACATCTTGGTGCACTTAAACCTACCAATAATGAGATCACAAAGAGATCAAGAAATTCACATTATGAAATACTCACAAACACACATCCTGATGCTGTTTACTATAGCCGTCCTATAAATAAATTTACTAGTCAGCCTAGTATTTATTCTCCGTTAAAAGGTTTGATATACTATTAATATAATTAATATAATTAATATAAACTTTTTAATGTTCTAGACTAATTTGTCTTCATAAAATTCTTAGCAAGTGTGATTAATAAAAATAATAAAAATAATAAGAATAATAAAAATTCACAATCATCCGCGGAAATGAACATGGATTTGTCGATTACGATGAGTGGTAAAAATTAACTTTATATAATAAATCCGATAGAATTCGTGACACGAAAATAATTATTATTCTATCAAATTTCTGAATTTATAGATATCAACAAAATGATGAGAAGTATTCCCGCATAATATATATATATATTTATTTATTTATTTTTAATAATGGACATTTCTCTCTATTTCATGTTTAACTAGAACCTTAACTCATATAAATTACTATATAATACATATTATGCATATTTTACCCATAAGAAATATATATATAATCACAAGTGTATAAACAAATATTTTAATGTATTTATTCATTTTTGTTTGAATCAGTTATTTATTAATCTTTTATGGATTTTTATAAATTAGCATTATCATAATTATTATTAAAGTTGAACAACATTTATTACGTATCATTGGTTAAATCAATTTTTTATTATATATATATACTGTACAATATATATATCGATTTATTTATTTATAATTACCGTTATCAGTCAAATACAAGTCCAAAACTAGGAATGGGCAATATATAATAAAAATGATACGTTATAATAATTATAAGCGTAAAGCACTTAATGTTTAGTCAAAGTGATACAAAAGTTACGTCTTTGATGTATAAATGGTTACGTTTTAAAACTCGACCTGTTGAATGACACCATTCAACATTACGGCGGATTTGTCAAATTTAACTACTTTTTGGACCCCAAATTTTAAGTTTTAGGGACCAAATTTATTATTGATTTTCTAAGATTGAACCCTCCAAAAAATTTATTAACACTCCGATCTATAATAACAATGCGTCTAACCCCATTTTCACTTTGTATATATTTTGCTACGTATATCATTGTTTAAATCAAAATAATAACGAAAATGGGGATTGAGTAAAGTTAACACATTAAGTCAAAATATTCTATTGATTACATATCGATATCGATATATAGAGACGCCCACAGTAAAAGCAGGGGATGGGACTATATATTATATAGTTCCATCCCCTGCTTTTGCTGTGGGCGTCCCCATATATGAAGTCAATTAAATGGCTCGCATGCGGTAGTCAATTTTTTTTTCAAATTTTGGTATTTTACAAATGCGCCGTAATGAAATACCTTTGAATTCTATTTGGCGCCATTCATCTGCCATTCAACATACCTTCAAAATTCTACTCAACATCATTCAACGCGTCATTAAACACCATTTGACATGCCATTCGATCCATTCAACATGCTATTCGATACCACGTATCGAATGGCAGGTTGAATAGTATCGAACGACATATCAAATTATATCGAATGGTATGTTGAATGACATGTTAAACGGTGCCATTCGACAGGTCAAATATTTCTATTTATCCGGCGCCTTACTATGATCGTACCAACAGAATAACTCTATACGTATTATTTTACTATATAGTGTACATGCATATGTATAAATTTGGCATAACAGGCAGGTGATAAATGAGACTATTCCCGTATTGACCATTTACTAAAGTACCCGGCTCTTTCACAAATTTGAGTACTAATCTGGGTATTTGGGTAAGTATTATATGAAATATAACATAATATGTATCTGGGTATTTACAAATGATAGAGATGTACCCGGTTTACATTTCATTTCACTCTCCAACATTCAATGTTTACACAAATCGAGTATTCCTCAGATATGTATGTTTAGTATTCGGATATAAATCAAACTTTAATCCTCAAATTGTAAAAATCACAAGGGATTCTACAGGCCAGCACATTCGGTCCAATTTTTATTCAAACCTTTAAATTCCGAATATTCATAGCAATTACAGTATTATAGATAATGTATAGCGATAAAGATAATCATATCATAGGATCTGATCACCTGATCAATATAATCACCCGTCGTCCATAATTCTGGTCAAAATTGAAGATAAAATTATACCGAACCCTCGGTTCTGGCGTTATATCCAGAGTTCGTTATAAAAAAGGGTTCGTTATATCCAGAGTTGACTGTAGTGTTATTTTTTGAAAAATCCGGTTCCGGGTCTCGAACCGAAATGAATCAGCCAGGATCGCCCCCCAAAAGTTCGGGTGATGATCTACGGATCATGCATATGTGATAATTCGAAGGTGCCGCAGCTATAGTTCATCGTACGTATGTACGTACGTACCGTACGTACTTCCCTTTCGTCACATACCGAGGAAGCGAATTTTATTTGTTTGTTTTTTTATTATTAGAAAATAATTTTTCTTTCTTAAAAAACTTGCACAGTTAAAGGAAGTTCCGGTTCCAACCAAAACCTTTTTTTATACCGGGATTTCAAGATTTCTAATATCTAAACTTCGTTAAGAAAACTTGTAAAATTCTTTTTCTTATATTAAAGGTTACTTATATCGAGAATTACTTGTATAATATCAAATTT